AGGATACAACCCTGACTTACACCTTTCCTGACTTTAAACCACACAGTATCCCCTTGTTCTGTTTGAATGACTGCCTCTTGTTCTGTGTACAGGTTCCTCATGAGCACGATTAAGTGTTCTGGAATTCCCATTCTTCCCAATGTTATCCATAATTTATGATCCACACAGTTGAATGCCTTTGTATTGTCAATAAAACACAGGTAAACATCTTTCTGGTATTCTCTGCTTTCAGGCAAGATCCATCTGACATCAGGAATGATATTCCCGATTCCACGTCCTCTTCTGAATCTGGCTTGAATTTCCGGCAGTTCACCGTCGATGTACTGCTGCAACCGTTTTTGAATGATCTTCAGCAAAATTTTACTTTCATGTGATATTAATGATATTGTTTGATAATTTCTACATTTACTTGGATCACCTTTCTTGGGACTAGGCATAAATATGGAGCTCTTCCAGTCGGTTGGCCAGGTAGCTGTCTTCCAAACTTCTTGGCAGAGACTAGTGAGCAATTCCAGCGCTGCATCCATTTGTTGAGACATCTCAATTGGTATTCCGTCAATTCCTGGAGCCGTGTTTTCCGCCAATGCCTTCAGTGCAGCTTGGACTTCTTCCTTCAGTACCATTGGTTCCTAATCATATGCTACCTCCTGAAATGGATGAACGTCGACCAATTCTTTTTGGTATAATGACTCGTGTATTCCTCCCATCTTCTTTTGATGCTTCCTGTGTCGTTTAATATTTTCTCCATAGAATCCTTCACTATTGCAACACGAGGCTTGACCTTTTTCTTCAGTTCTTTCAGCTTGAGGATGAGTGTGTTCTTCCCTTTTGGTTTTGTAACTCCAGCTCTTTGTACATGTCATTATAAAGCCTTACTGTATCTTCTTGAGCCTTTGAAATCTTCTGTTCAGTTCTTTTACTTCATCATTTTTTCCTTTTGCTTTAACTACTCAGTGTTAAAGAGCAAGTGTCAGAGTCTCTTCTGATACCCATTTTAGTCTTTTCTTTCTTTCCTGTCTTTTTAATGACTTCTTGTTTTCTTCATATATGATATCCTTGATGTCATTCCACAACTTGTCTGGTCTTTGCTCATTACTGTTCAGTCTATTCTTGAGATGGTCTCTAAATTCAGGTGAGATATACTCAAGGTCGTACTTTGGCTCTCGTGGACTTGGTCTAATTTTCTTCAGCTTGAACTTGAACTTGCATATGAGCAGTTGATAGTCTGTTCAACAGTTGGCCCCTGGCCTTGTTCTGACTGTTGATATCGAGCTTTTCCATTGTCTCTTTCCACAGATGTAGTTGATCTGATTCCTGTGTATTCCATCTGGCGAGGTCCACATGTATAGTCGCCATTTATGTTGGTGAAAAAAGGTATTTGCAATGAAGAAGTCATTGGTCTTGCAAAATTCTATCATTTGATCTCTGGCATCATTTCTATCACCAAGGCCATATTTTCCAACTACAGATCCTTCTTCTTTGTTTCCAACTTTCATATTCCAATCACCAGTGATTATCAATGCATCCTGATTGCATGTTTAATCAATTTAGATTGCAGAAGTTGGTAAGGGGTCCTTATCAATGGGTAAATTTTAATGAAAGTAAAAGAAAGCTTTGAGGTAAACCCTGATACTGGGCCAAGCTTGAATTCTGACTGACCCTACCCTCTGTGTTTCATGGCCCCTACAAAGGAACGTCCTGGAGCAAATCCTAACTCAGAGCCAAGCTTAGATTATGTCCATCTGGAGCCATAGTCACTAGTCTCAGAGCTACTTTTAAATCCTGAAATAACAGATAATACAGGAGGTTGGAATGATTCATAAGAGAATGAGCAAAACAAAGGAGAAAGAGAAAGGGAAGAGAAAGGAATTCATCCCAGCAGGGTGGAGATCTATTATGGATTGAATCGTGTCCCCCAAAATGTATGTCAACTTGGCTACACCATGATTCCCAGTATTGTGTAGTTGTCCTCCATTTTGTGACCTGATGTGATTATCTTACATGTTGTAAATCCTACCTCTATGATGGTAATGAGGCAGGACTCAATCTACAAGATTAGTCGGTATCTTGACTCAATCTCTTTTGAGATATAAAAGACAGAATCTAGCAGAGAGTAGAGGGACCTCCTACCACCAAGAAAGAAGTGCCAGGAGCAGAGAGTGTCCTTTGGACCCAGGGTCCCTGAGCTGAGAAGCTCCTAGACCAGGGGAGGACTGATGACAAGGACCTTACCTCCCCTCACCCCCCCATGCCAGCTGACACAGAAAGTCTTCCACTGGAGCAGGCGCACTGAATTTGGGCTTCTAGCCTCCTAAACTACGAGAGAAGAAATTTCTGTTTGTTAAAGCCAACCACTTGTGGTTTTTCTGTTATAGCAGCTCTAGGTAACTGAGACAAGATCTTTAACCAGTTGTTTAGAAATGGGAGGAAAAGCATGAGTATTGATCGGGTCAAAACAAAAGTCTTTCTTAGCGCAGCAAGGTGAGTGGTTGTTCCTCTACACTGAAGGACCCTAAACAAATGTGCTTTATTCACCCTAGTTTGGAGGGATTTGGAAAGGTGCAGGACAAATATGATGATGAAAAACCTGACCTCCTATTGTCTCGAGCGATGGTACCAAATCTTATTTTCTGAGCTAGTATCACCAGGTTCTTGAGGAACCTCAGTAAAATGGGTTGTGAAAGTGGCTACCTTAGAGTCAGTCTCATTGGTTTTGTATACAGGTAGTCCTCAACTTACAATGTGTTCGAGTGAGAAGGAACTGCACTTACGACGGTCCATTTTTTTGTTTGTTTTAACATCTTATCGTTAGTAATATGCACTACGCACAATGTTGCAGTGAGTAATTTGCTGATATATCATTCTTGACTGTGTGGATCATAACAAGTTATGGATAACATTGTGAAGAATGGGAATTCCAGAACACTTGATTGTGCTCATGATGAAACTGTACATAGACCAAGAGGCAGTTGTTTGAACAGAACAAGGGGATACTGTGTGGTTTAAAGTTAGGAAAGGTGTGTGTCAGGGTTGTATCCTTTCACCATACCTATTCAATCTTTATGCTGAGCAAATAACAAAGAAGCTGGACTATACGAAGAAGAATGTGGCATAAGGATTGGAGGAAGACTCATTAACAACCTGCATTATGAAGATGACACAACCTTGCTTGCTGAAAACAAAGAGGACTTAAAGCACTTGCTAATGAAGACCAAAGACCACAGCCTTCAGTACGGATTGCACCTCAACATAAAGAAAACAAAAATCCTCACAAGTGGACCAATAAGCAACATTATGATAAATGGAGAAAAGATCGAAGTTGTCAAGGATTTCATTTTACTTGGATCCACAATCAAAACCCATGGAAGCAGCAGTCAAGAAATCAAATGATGTATTGCATCGGGCAAATCTGCTGCAAAAGACCTCTTTAAAGTGTTGAAAAGCAAAGATATTACTTTGAGGACTAAGATGCACCTAACTCAAGCCATGGTGTTTTCGATCGCCTCATATGCGTGTGAAAGCTGGACAATGAATAAGGAAGACTGAAGATGAATTGATGCCTTTGAATTATGGTGTTGGTGAAGAATGTTGAATATACCATGGACTGCCAGAAGAACGAACAAGTCTGTCTTGGAAGAAGTACAGCTAGAGTGCCCCTTGGAAGCAAGATGGTGAGACTTTGCCTCTTGTACGTTGGACATGTTATGAAGAGGGATCATTCCCTGGAGAAGGACATCATACTTGTTAAAGTAGAGGGTCAGCAAAAAGGAGGAAGACCATTGACGAGATGGATTGACAGAGTGCTTGCGGCGATGGGCTGAAACATAGACGATTGTGAAGAATGGCTCAGGACCGGACAGTGATTTCGCTTGGTTGTACATAGAGTCGCTATGAGTCGGAATGAACTCGACGGCACCTAACAACAACAACAACAACATCATTCTCAGATGTTCACTCGCATTGTTCAATGTTGTGATTTACTGATCAAAACACTGCGGTGTAACAGACTATGGCCTGGTCTACAAGAAAGTCGGTGTCGGTGTTGGTGTAGGGAGTCATAACTGAATAGAAAGTTGGGCATTGTTCAACTCTAAAGACGTATGACAACCGAACTGCAGATACACCAGAGAGCCATCAGAACTCCAGCTTCATTGTTACAACACCGATGATGACAAATAAAGATCAAATTTATAAAGATACTGATAATAAAAGGCAATAATAATGAAAACTGAAAAACAAACCAAAAGAAGAGGTATTCGACTTATGTCAGAACTGATTTGCGGTGGAGTCATTGGAACTAACCTGCCATAAGTCCTGGACTACCTGTACCATGAAATGGAGGAGCATGTTTTGGTTGACGTATGACCATACCAAACCAAACCCAAACCCATTGCCATAGAGTCGACTCAGACTCATAGTGACCCTATAGGACAGAGTAGGACCGCCCCATAGGGTTTCCAAGGAGGGGCTGGTGGATTCGAACTGCTGACTTTTTGGTAGCAGCTGAGCTGTTAACCCCTGCACCACCAGGGCTCCTATATAATATATAGAGGATATGTGCTATAGGGTCGCTATGAGTTGGAATCGACTCCAGAGCACACAAAAACGAAACATCTCAGCTTCCAATATGCATGACCTAGGCAAAGCTCCTCTTTCAAATTGTTTGAAACGATAAAGGAAACAGTTCTGATCGTCAGGACCCCAAAGAGTTTGAAATGGTTCAAAAGGAGGGGAATCAAGTTCTGTTGGAAGGACAGAAACCGAATGCCCAGGTGTCCGTGTGGCGGCGGTGAGGGGCAAAGCTCAGGCCCAGCCTGCCCCACTCCTCGCCCCGCCCCTCGCCGTCTTCGGCTCCGCCCCTCGCCGTCCGAGGCCCCGCCCTGCCCCTGCACGGCTCCGCCCCGCCCCTCGCCGTCCGAGGCCCCGCCTCTCCCCGGCACAGCTCCGCCCCGCCCCTCGCCGTCCGAAGCCCTGTTCCTCGTCGTCCGAGGCCCCGCCCCGCCCCTGCTCAGCTCGCCCCGCCGCGCCATTTCTGGCCGACGCGGAAGAGAGTCGCTGAGAGCGACAATCCTACAAGGGTGAGTAAGACTAGTGTTTCTAGTTCAGTTCCGCGCTTCGCATCCCCTCCAGTCCCGTGTCCTCCTCCCCTGGGGTCTGGGGGTCCCTGCGGACATTCAAGTCCCCGCCCCGCTGTCGTCCGGGATCCGCGTCCGTTTCCGGTTAAAGCAACCCAGAGGCGGTCCGCCGGTCCTTCCTGCCCCCGGCCAGAGGACCCGCTGCCCCCTTTCCTGCCGGTCCTTCACTTACCCCTCCCCACCTCCGCCAGGAACAGCCCCGCGGGGGGACCTCGCCTGCGCCCCCAGCCCCGCTCCCTGCGCTCTCAGGACGGTGCCGGCCGCCCCCATGGCCCAGGACGCGAGTCAGAAAGTTTCCTTCATTTTGTCATTTTCCGTCAAATCATGTTTCTTTCATTCTGGAGGCTTGTCATTTTTTTTTGTTTTAATGATATTTACTTAATTTTTAATAGGAAATTTGGGTTCCCTTTTTCCTCGCCCCGGTGGCGCAGTGGTTAAGAGCTGCGGCTGCTAACCAAAAGGTCAGAAGTTCGAATCCACCAGCCGCTTCTTGGAAACTCTATGGGGCAGTTCTGCTCTGTCCTGTAGGGTCGCTGTGAATCGGAATTGACAGCAACGGTTTTTTTTCCCCCTCTCTTGGTTTACAGATTCAAATAGTCGGTTTGTTTCTTTTCAACACCCCTTCCCTTTTTTTTTTTGAAGATCCTTCGGTGGTCCCAGCGGTTTGCGCTGGTGTACTAATCTAAAAAAAGATCGGTGGAACTGCGCAGGAGAGGCCTGTGCTTTTGTAAAGATTACAGCCAAGAAAACCCTAAGGAGCGGTTCTAGGCTGTAACAACTGTCTACTCCAGGGCAACATTTTTTCTTTCTTTGTTTTTTAATATTATGTTTTTAAAGATACATTTATTTCAAGATCACTGCTTTGACCACATTTCCTTGTTTTGAGTACTTTGATTCTTCAGGGTGATAATGACTCTAAATTGGTCGTTTACGAGTTGTCACACAGGTTATAAAAACTTTTCCTGTAAATCAGATTCTAAGTACAGAAACTATCTTTTGTCTTTTGATTTGTTTAGTTTTGCTTCCACCACGTGATTTGTGTTCACCTTCATTTTGATTTAACTGTGCGAGATCTGTGGCCTCCCTAATCTCCTTTTTTTTTGAGATCGTTTCACAGCTTTATTTCTCATGGAAGACAACATAATATCCGGTAATAGAATTGTTAAATACGGTAAGATATCATCTTATATGAAATTAGCTGACATTTTCTTTATGACTCACTACACGGTCATGTTTGATGAATGTTCGATCACTGTATCCAAGTGTCTTTGGTAAAGGTTCGGTTTGTATTCACTAATTGGTTGCTGTTGGTAGGTCAGTTCTGACTGACAGGGACACCATGTGACACAGTAGAACTGCCTCATAGGGTGTTCTAGGTTGTAATCCTTATGGGAGCAGATAGCCGGTTTTGGGTTCAAACTGCCAACTTTTTGTTCAGCAGGAGAGCGTTTAATCACTGTGCCTCCAGGGGTCGTTATTCACAGATTTAGCTATGCTAACTCCTCAGTATGCTTACATTTTATTGCATTATAGTCATGGTGATTTCAGTGGGAATTGTTTTTAATTTTTCCCTTCAAGCTTAATGATCAACCAGTGTTTTTCTTTGAATTTGTATGGTACTATTTAGTCAAGTTTCCGACATACATTTTTAGGTGCGTACATAGACATGAGGAGCCCTGGTGGCGCAGTGGTTAAGAGCTCAGCTGCTAACCAAAAGGTCGACAGTTCCAGTCCACCAGCTGCTCCTTGGAAACCCTATGGGGCAGTTCTACGCTGTCCTGTAGGTCACTGTGAGTTGGAATTGACTCGATAGCAATGGATTTGGTTTCTACGTAGACATGAATGTCCTATCGTCCTGTTTAATTTTCCCTTTTGTTAGTTGCCATCGAGTTGATTCCGTCTCATGGTGACCCCAAGTGGTACAGAGTAGAACTGCTCCGGAGGGTTTCCTTGGCTGTGATCTTAGTGGAAAATGAAAGCACCGTTTGTTTATTGTACATGCTCATTGCAATGAGGGTGCTCTGATGGGTAATTGTGTTGATTTCATCTGTAATCCACACGAATATCCCTGGAGCAATCCTTTTTTTTTTTTTTTGAGGTTAAGGGCACTGTCCTCCAGACTGCCAGATCTGTCTGAGACTTCTGACACCAGCTGCGAATTAGGGAGTTTACCAAAACCACCCTCAGCTTCCCTATAGAAAGACTCTCAGAATTCACTGGAAGCTATTATACCCATGATCACATTTTTACAGGGAAAATACAGAAATCAGAACCAGCCTAAGAAGAGACATATAGGGCAGAGTGTAGGCGGGTTCCCAATACCACGCTTCCACATCCTCAGGGTGTGACCAATGGCATTGATGGTGAAGTTCTCATGGATTGTTGCCAACCCAAGATGCTCACACGAGCGTTAGTGTCCAGAATTTTTTTTTTAGTCTTTATCACATAGACTTGATTGATTGAATTATTGCTCATCTGGCTGAACTCCAGCCCTCCATTTGCCTCCCCATCCCCAAGTCTGGCTGGTATCACGGGGCCCAAAGCCCTGTCATAAGAAACCCAAACTCCATTTTGTAAATGCCCAGCATCCCTTTTCTTCCAGCTTGTGCTTAAACATTGTGTATTTCAAAAGAGCAGCCTACTGGTCTTCCTAATCAACTCACCATCACACCCACATGCAAAATCCCAGATAACCATCCAGAAGAAGTCCCTCCTGTCTCTGACCCTCCCTTTCCCCACCCACATGTCACATCTGGGAAGCCAGATGAGGACCCCATGCCCTCTCTGCCAAATTCACATCCCCAGACCCCTCAGTTTCCCGCCATTTGTCTTAAATTAGCCAGTAGTCCCTAAGCTTATGAAATAAAGCATACTCCTCACTTTGGACCCTATTAAAGGCTAAGCCCAGATCTCTCTGCACTCTCTTTGATTCTCCCCTTTTCAGCACTCTGGTGAACTCTTGTGGCCTTCGAGTGTGTTCCCCTCGAGGACTTGTGAGTAATAAAGTCATTGTTTTGGTCATTGAACATTAAAGTGCAGCTTTGTAACGAAAGAAACTCCCACCTCATTTCCCCACAGGTGGTCCCCCCGACCCGCTCTGGGGGGCTGTGTGTTTCCCCCTGCAGTTGTTGTTAGGTGCCGTCGAGTTGGTTCTGACTCACAGCGACCCTGTGCACCACAGAACGAAACCCCGCCCGGCCCTGCGCCACGCTCACGATCGTTGCTATACTTGAGCCCTTTGTTGCAGCCACCGTGTCAATCCACCTCGTTGAGGGTCTTCCTCTTTTTCACTGGCCCTCTACTTTACCAAGCAGTAGGCTCTCATGTACCTGTTGATATTTGTCTAATATTAACATAAGCCGCAACTCTAATCCCGTGTCAGGTCTTTCGGGCATGACCAGCTTCCGCTCTGTCACCCCTTTAGTGTAAACTATCAGATGTGGATAGAGGGACCTACCGTGAATCACAAAGGCAGTCCTGTCACTCTGGACTCTCCAGGGGTTTAGTGGTTCCCTCCCAGGAGCCAGGACAAAGGCCAGAACTCTCTTTGTTATTGTTAGTTGCCATGGAGTCCATTCTGACTCCTGGCGACCCTATGTGTGCAGAATAGAACCGCTCCATAGGGCTTTCACGACTGTGACCTTTCAGAAGCAGATCAGAAGCAGGGCTGTCTTCCGAGGTGCCTCTGGTTGGGTTTGAACCACCAACCTTTTGCCTAGTAGTTGAGCGCTGAACTGTTTGTGCCACCCAACCGCCATAGCCTTCTCTTGAGGCGAGATCAGATTCCTTACTACAGAAGTAGAATTTAAATATGTTCATTGTACTCAATGGTGCCTGACAACAACAACGTACTAAAATTCTGAAAAACATGAACAGAAAATGATAATGAAAATCCAGCCAGAAATACCATCATTCAAAGGCAACTGCTCTTATTTTGGTTAATTATACTGTTGGTGCGCATGCACCATACCAAAAAAACCCAAACCCATTGCCGTCCAGTCGATTCCAACTCTTGGTGACACTGTAGGACAGAGTAGAACTGCCCCAGAGGGTTTCCAGGCTGTAAATCTTTTTTTTCTCTGTAAATTTTTGTTAATTTAATTTTTTTTTATTATCGTACTTTAGGTGAAGGTTTATAGATCAAACCAGCTTTTCATTAAACAATTAGTACATAATATTGTTTTGTGACACTGGTTACCAACCCCATGATATGTCAACACTTTTCCTTCTCAACCTTGGGTTCCCTGTTACCAGCTTTCCTGTCCCCTACTGCCTTCTAGTCCTCGCCCCTGGGCTGGTGTGCCCCTTTAGTCTCATTTTGTTTTATGGGCTTGTCTAATCTTCGGCTGAAGGGTGAACCTCAGGACTGACTTCATTACTGAGCTAAAAGGATGTCCGGCAGCCATACTCTAGTGGTTCCTCCAGTCTGTCAGGCTAGTAAGTCTAGTCTTTTTTTGTGAGTTAGAATTTTGTTCTCTATTTTTCTCCAGCTGTGTCTGGGACCCTCTGTTGTGATCCGTATAGGAGTAGTCAGTGGTGGTAGCCAGGCACCATCTAGTTGTGCTGGACTCAGTCTGGTGGAGGCTGTGGTAGTTGTGGTCCATGAGTGCTTTGGAGTAATCTTTCCCTTGTGTCTTTGGTTTTCTTCATTCTCCTTTGCCGCTGACGGGGTGAGGCCAGTGGAGTATCTTAGATGGCTGCCCACAAGCTTTTAAGATCCCAGACCCTACTCACCAAAGTAGAATGTAGAACATTTTCTTTATAAACTATGTTATGTCAGTTGATCTAGATGTTCCCCAAGACCATGGTCCCCACAGCCCTCAACCCAGTAATTCAGTCCCTCAGGGAATTTGGATGTGTCTGTGGAGCTTCCATGACCTTGCAAGGCTATAAATCTTTATGGAAGCAGACTGCCACATCTTTCTCCTGCGATACGGCTGGTG